GCACTTCGGGATATTATGTTATTATATAACCATTCATGCTTCAAAATTGAAAAAGGAAGCAAGGCGTGACCGAATAAGCGGTAATGTCAGAGGTTAGACTTTTTAGCTAATTTATTGCGATTTTGATACTACTTAATGTGCATATGATACTGTAAGTTATGCGATCTGCTTATTACTTTAATGGTATACATGCTTTCTAATGTAAAATTAAAGAAGAATGGAGGAAATAATAAACATTTATTTAAAAAGAGCTAAAAGCTAAAACAAGTAATAGCCCCTTTCCTTACTATAGAGTGTGCAGCTGGATATTACACCATTGCATGCAACCAGTCTTGCCTTGGCAACTGTAAGGAATCACGCTGTGATCGAGCTAGCGGACACTGCCATGGTATGGTTTTTAATTCCCTTGACCATGTAACCGGTTATTTATTGCGATACGATTGTGGTTTACAGTGTTAGGCCTTTACAGTATGGTTACCAATGGACCTTGGATATATTTGAACAGAATTTAAAGACTATGGTATACAGCCTTATATCAATAGAATAGGTTCGGCAAAAGGGGTGTTACAATTGTCACTTACAGAGTTATAATTGCAGTTGTGTGCAGACCATGTTGATAATTACTGATGTAAACAGATTTTGATGAAAACAGCTTGAAAATACCAATATGTCAGCCAAATGAAAATCCAAATTAATACGACATTCCTATGTATATCTTGGTCTATTCAATATAATACATGCTGTATCATTCGACGCAATGTTAATCCTCATTTGCATTTGCACTTATAGCACATTTACTCGCTAGATAAAATTTATTGAAGAAATCGACCAAGACGGTACTCTTCGAATACTTGACATTGGAATTTAGAGTGTTCTCTTGTAAACCTTTATCTAGTTATTTTGATGCATTCACAAGTTCCGTCGAACTTGTACTTGAATTCTGGTTCCGAAAACATATCGATTTTGTATTAATATTTTAATCATTTTTTTTTTTTCTAAATATTCCAAGATAGACAAATTGTATATTTTTTACAATTTTCAATAAATTGTTGATCTTTATTATACCTCCTCGAGTAAATACAAATCAAAGTTTCTAAAATATAGAATAAAAAATATGTTATCTGTTGAAATTGATACATTTATGATTGCAATATAAACGAGCATGTGAATGTATGATGGCAACTAACAAAAGGTATTCACAAACAAAATGGATGTTATGCATTTACAAATGAAATGACTTGTTCCACAATGAATGAAATATTTTAATAGCCTTGATAAAGACGTCTGGACATAAATATATTACTATTTCAAACATACATTACAGAACAGGCACAGGTATCAGCCACAGATCAGACGGCAGTGTATGCTGGCGTTAGTGTAGGAGTAGTTACCGGTCTTGCCGTCCTCGTTATTGTGTTGATCGTACTTCTACGGAGGTATGCTTTATTATTATTGATGTGAAACAAGGTATGCCTTATTGTGCACTGAACTAGTATATTCAATTATTAATACACAGTTAAATGACGCTATATTCATATTCAATATATCCTGTTATGTTTGTTGCTCAATTTCAGATACACTGATGTTATATATATGAACTATGTGAGTCATCTTCCATATATAAACGTGGATAATTAATATCGCTTCAGAAAGAGGCTATCAACGTATAAGGAAAACTCTCATGACCAGAGTGATACAAAGGCTAACAGAATGCATTATTTACCAACCATACCAAAGAACGCACATGAGGAGTGTTCGGACGATCCAAATGATGCAGGTTTTATACTTATTGATTTTAACATTTAGCATTACATACAGCAATTTTTCTGCTTAATGTTCTCATACTGGTCTTTAAGGTTATGCAAATTATAATAATAATGCTATGACACTTAAAAAATATTGGAAATTAAAACAAAACTTCCTTAACTATGACATTACATCAGTCGTATCTTAATATTATCTATATAACATTTTTGTGTCAGTATCATAAACTTATGTTTTAATAGATAATATTCAATACTCCCTGTTCGCGACTCGGGTTGTTCAACTTCCCAGGCATTATGTTGTGATCGACTGCGGTAATTATGACATGGAAGGCACTTTACGCATTCGTGCAAAAAAGTCAGTTCCGTTATGATTAAATTTTATATGGTCATCTTGCAATCTATTACCTTGAAGTCACTCAGCCCTTTATCATTTGTTATAATTGATAATCATTCATGTTTTTATCTACATCTTTCTGAAAGTGTCAAATTTGTATATCAGGTATCGGCATTTCATTGCAGATCAAATCATTACGCCGTTGTTGTATGTGGTTTTACTCTCTCTCAAAATGGTTGTTTTTAACATTATAAGAACATCTACTAACTATTGAGAAAAAAACAAACGTGAGTGAAAAAAATATCATATGGCAGTCACTGGCTATGAAACCTATATTTATATTCAATTAGATATTGTGAACGAAAGTGGACGTGTCTACGTTAATATGCACGACATTAATCTCACTACCGACAACGAGGTTGTGTACAGCAACATTGACGCCAGTAAAATGCGTATAAATGATCTGCGATTGATGATCTCCAAGAAGATGATGAATAAAGCAGAAGGATTTCGGGAGGAATTTAAGGTATTTAATCTGGTAAACATGGACATTTAAGTAGTTAATCGATATGTCTGTGTAACACTTTGTTAATTTTGAAATTTGAGTTGTTTATTGATGTGGTTATGTAACACTGTTAACTTGGAAATTTGAGTTGTACCATTGACCTATGCTTAGCATCTAAAAACTTTTGAGTTAAAATCAAACCTTGACCCTAACATGACTATAATGGTTTGTTCCCATCATATATGTTCTTAATAATCATTTTCCATTTAATCGTTTAGATGTTCCCCGTGGGCGCAGTTCATCCTCACGAAGTTGGCAAAAAGGCTTCAAACAAAGCCAAAAACAGATTCAAGACAACATTCCCATGTAAGAAACTGCTCGGCTGTCTACCAAACCAAAAATCCTAATATTAAAATGAAAACTGTCTCATCATTACATATGTAAACATTTTTTGACATTGTCCTCTACGTACATTTTTAATTTTGTACTATCTTTTTTCAATCACTTAAGAGTTATACTGTTTAGAAACTTTATTGACACCTAGTATGCTTTATCAAAAATATTGCTTGAAGCTCTGTGTCTCATTTTGGATGTCTGGTTTCTATGAGAGTATTCGACATTCTGTTCTCTCTTTTGTATTTTTGCTGCTATCTAAATAGAATTACATCGTGTCTTCCGTGCGTCAACTATCACATCTAGTAATACGACAAAATACGTACGAAACTAATAAATAGTTTAGCCTAGGATCGACCGTTTTCCATAATTCCGAACAAACTACATTGAATTATGTATTTGCTGTGTTTGAATTATTTTTATTTTTATGAAATCGGGTTTTATTTATTTTTTTTTTTTTTTTTTTTTACAGATGACCATTCTAGGATTATATTGGAAAAGTCAGGAAATGATATAGATACGACTTACATCAATGCAAATTACATCGATGTAAGTATATTCTGGAGTGAATGAAAATGCAGGCTACATTAAATGATATCCTTTTTCCATATGGAAACAAATTAATGGTATCTATATTTCTTCTGGACCTATTTTCATAGTTAGGAAGTTGGTTATGTCCAACCTTTTGTGATTTATCAAAAGCATTCTGAATTTGCAACTTCTTTTTCAGGGCGTTGAAACAACAAAACAATACATAGCCAGTCAAGGTAATTTATATCTTGTTATGCATACATAATTGTATGTGAAGATTCGTTCCGTTGTTGCCTTGACTGCAGTGCCTATTTATTCAGATTTTTCATGTGACGGTTATTATTAGTGTTTGATAATCTTTTTCATGCCTAACGGCGTTTGGTTTTATCTAAATTATTTTTTTATTTTGTCAAACTAACATCACAACTTTTTCAACATATTATTTTCATCAATATACTCCCATAGCATATTGTATAACACAGCATAATCCGTATAAAAAGTAGTACGTATTATGACATCGCATAAACTATATTGTTCACATTCTAGTGCTTTTGAAGTATGAATTGTGGGTTCGCGAGATGTGTATTAATCAATTAACATTACCCCGTAGTTTCAAAATGTTATTTATGATACATAGGACCAAAGCCAAATACTTTGGACGATTTCTGGAGGATGGTGTGGCAGGTCAGCTCCGGGAAGATTGTGATGCTAACAAACCTAATTGAGGGTGGCACAGTATGTCTACACTATTTTTCCCTTGTGATATATAATCCATTGTTTTACTAATTAAGCCTGGTGTATATCATCAATAATTATAGTTATCATATTATGTACTTGTGTATTTTTTTTATCATTACCTTATGTGTCTTTTTATTTTTACAGGTCAAATGTATTAAATACTGGCCAGATGAAGGGGAGCCACTATCAACTCAAACATTTCATTTGAGACTTAACAAGGAGACGACTTATGCATTTTACGCCATCCGTGACATGTCAGTCATGCAAAAGAAGGTAGCATTATCATCATGTAGCCAATTTTATTTCTTATAAGAACCACGTATCCATGAAAAAAACTATGTCTAATTGGCTTTTTGTTTGTTTTTTATTGTTTTCCTTTTTAACTATTTCGTTTTAAAACTTAAGAAAAGTGATCATTACATTTTCATTAGACAAAAGAGGAGCGACAAGTTCAACAGTTCCATTTCATGACTTGGCCGGATCATGGAACCCCTGACACTCTGGAACTTGTTCTTTTCCATCGTCGAGTAGTGTCACGTGAAACGCACCTCACAGGACAGATGGTGGTACATTGCAGGTAATTTAAGCTACAGCAACGTTTTCGGCTATGCTTTTTCTTCCAGTAGCAAACTCATTGACATTGTTTGAGATAATACAATACTCATTAGTATCTATGGATACTAGCAACGTTTAATCGTAATCTTAATCAATCTATCAAACTCAAATGTTTGTATATCTACCGTTGAGAAATAGCATCCAAACATGGATTTTTTATAAATTCGATTGTTTCTTTTTTTTTTCATTTAATGTTAGATGAAAAGAAAGAGGTGCTGTGGATGACAACTGATCAATATATTATTTATATTGCAGTGCAGGTTTAGGTAGAACCGGGACCTTTATTGCATTAGATGCACTTCTCACGAATGGCAGGGAAACGGGATATGTCGATATTCCAAGATACATTAAGACAATGAGGAAGGACAGAATGAATATGATCCAAACCTGTGTATGTGTTAATTTCGAATTTGCCGTTATTATCACTTCAAGTAACAAATACGCTTTGATTGGTACCCGTTCTTAAATATACATTACTTAGAATGCTGTTATAATCTCGGCAAAAAGCATAACGATCTAGAATTTGTTGACCAAAACTATTTCTCATTCTCTGTCCGATATGAGGTTGAAAGTGTTTTTATTTTCGTTAGAATGCTAGATGATTTCGTTGTTGTTGTTTTATTCTGATTTAGAAAAGTGACATTGAGCATGATTTTACATGGCGTGTGTGTTCGATGAAACAGAAGACACTGATCTTATTATTCATGTAATTGTAGAGAATTAATAACTCATCTAATGGTTTGCTTTAGATATATCCTTAACGTATAAAACCTTACATTCAAACCAATCTGTACGTAAACCCATATGAAAATAAGGAGTTCATGTCTTTATAAATTTAGACGTTCTTTACACTTTAGGATCAATATGTTGCGTTGCATGAGTTACTTGACGAAGGCTTCAATTTACAACCATCGCACATTTCCCGGGAAAATTTTCCTGCAGTATTCGCCAAAATCTGTCCTGGAAATCAACCTACAAATCAGACAAGGATTCATCAGGAGTTCACGGTAAACACTGAAACATAATTATCGTGTTATCATATCACAACAACAAGAAAAAAGGTAAAATAATAGTGTTCAAAAAGCTTGAAAGTCCTATCAGTTAGTTTTCGTCTGTTTCATAATGGAAAGTATTATACAACAGAACATGTAATCTGTTGCAGGCATTGCAAAGCTTCAACCCTAATTATCCTCCAAGCTGTTATTCAGCAGCGATGAAGAAAAGTAACAAAGACAAGAATCGAAAAATGGACATCCTCGCAGGTATATAATGATAATCCCAATGATATGATATTTGAAATAATTGATCAATTATGGTATCAATTTCAGTACAAATTGCGGTGATAATTATCTGAAACTGATCATAATTTTGTTTTAAGTGGACAAGTTCAGAGCATTCCTTCAATCGCAGCAATCGAATAGGACCGATTACATCAATGCAGTTGAAGTACAGGTAACGTTTTCTTATTTTACTAACTTTTTTATGTACGTGTATATTACATATCTCTTTTTATACATATGCTTTTAAAACAAAATCTTTATGATTGAATTATGATGTAAATGATCAATCACTATTTTTTATGAATTTGTCAAAACCCATTAACAGTCTCACACATCAAAGTCCGGGTACCTGATAACACAGTTCCCTTTAGAGAACACATTTGATGATTTTTGGACGATGGTGTTTGACTATAGCTGTGAGAATATTGTTGTCCTTGGCCAACCTACCGAAGTAAGTAATTTAAAACATTCTTTGTATAAAATGTATAACTATTTCTATGATTAATATTCTGTACACGAAATATGATTAGGGTATCTCTTACTCGCTAAATACAAGTGGGAATGCATTATCAATTGTTAATGAGAGAAAAAATAAATTATCCTGGCATTAATAATTATATTATGTTCTTTCAGTGCTGGTTACAGAAAGACGACGACTCCACAGCATCAACTATTTTTTCATTTACAAAACTGAACGAACGTGATATGAATGACGATTCAACACTTGCTGATTACCAAATAACTGGACAGGTTGTATTCTTTTGACCTTTACATAAATTAAGTAATTAAAGTTATTTCTGTCCTGATTTGGTGACAACTTTCCATATACCTATAACATATCACTATTGTAACCGGTTTCAGCAGCAATATTGAAAATAGATTATCGATAGCTGAATATTTAATGACTATGTGCATGAATCCACTTCTAGCGCGAATTTAAACCGCTCATTAAGCGTCCATTCATGTAACAATTAATGAATTTATCGATTACATAAAGAAAGTATTGATAAAGTTAGTTAATGCAAAATACTCATTTACCCATATAGATCGATAGTGAAAGACATTCGATGTGTAGGTATAACCATGCTTTTTGCATATATCATATGAATATTGAAATAATATAAATTAAATAATATGCAAAACTTCTAAATCGCCTGCACTTTTAACAATTTCTTGATTGTCCATTGAACAATTAATGATAGAGTGACAGTAGAGAGGCAACAGTCAGGATCTTCACCTTGGCCACGTGGTCAGCGGACTGTTTGCTGCCACCATCTGACTCGTCCATACTCCTACTTCTAGAACAGGTGGACAGTCGTAGGCGCTCAGACGATGCAAAACCTGTAGTCATTCTGTGTCGGTATGGCAATTGATTTCGTTTTGACAGAATGTATTAATAAGAATATATACCAAATTGACATTGAAACATATAACTCATTGGTGTTTATGTAAAATGTAATTAAGAGTTATAAAGAAGGGTATTTAATATCTGATGTAAAATGTAATTAAGATTTTAAAGAAGGGTATTCAATAAAGGGATGGGTGCACACAGAGTGGACTGTTCTGTTGTATATCAAACATCAGAGATCAAATGAAGATGGATGGGGAAGTTGATATATTTCAAACAGCACGTCAGTTGAAAAGGCGACGACCTGAGGCGCTGGAAGATGTGGTAAGCTACATGTACACGAATCATTCAATGTAAGAATAAAAGTCTAGTTCGCAAATGATATCAACATGTTTTACTTATGTTATTTTGTTCTTTGCATCTGATAATTGATCATTTGTTTTCGATTGAAAAATTTAAGATAAGTTTCGATGCCAAATAAAACTTTCATTTATATTTACTTTGTTTTCTTTTACCATAGAAACAATACCGGTACTGTTACAAGATCCTGGACCAATATATTGATTCAACTGATCTGTATGTCAACTAAAGTCTCAAGAAAAAGCGCAGTCAGTATTGTAATATACATGATTTTACGACATTTACGTTAATGTACACGTTAAATGATTCACGAACTGAAGAAAAGCAATTGCTCATTAATCCCATCGCCATTTACAATAATGGTCCGCCATCATCTTACTACGTGGCCTGACTTCAACTGCTGTAAATACAAGATACAAGGACTTTTATTTAGAGTCATGTTTTTGAACAATAAAATATTGATTATGTAGAGCAATTATCAGGACTATGAATAACAAAACAATGATATATTGTAATCACTAAACTAAAACATACATAACAGATAACTTCACAAACGATGCTAGCTAAATAAAGATCATGCGACAAAATAGCCCATGCAGCATATATAAATGATATATAAAACATGAAAAAAACATAAAAAACATAAACCCCGGGTTTATGGTTGTGACCTTATTGGTTAGGTAAGGGTCTCAAGCAGAGGTTGTTTTATATTTTATATTCAATGTGTTACGCAAATACTAACGTGCGAAATAAATATATTGAAAACGGTAGCATAACTAACGTCAAATCGATAGCATTGATGATATAATGAATACCTGATCATTCGTTTGACAGTGGTGAAGGAACTGAATGATAATCTGTAATTGTTGTATATATTTTGTATATTCACTAGCAATAACTTGTCATATGTGTAATTGAATCACTCGATAATATAAGAAAAACGTCATTTTTCAAAGAATACTTACACTATCAACACTTGGAGCAAATCGCAAAGTGGATCTCGATCGTGAACCAGTTCCGTAGCTAATTAAGTTGCCATGCTGTCGAGTTGTTCTGCCATTCGTTTACGTACTTTATATTTTACTAGAGATATAATTGAGCTCAACACTGTTGTTGAATGTCATTAATTCTTTCAGTATGTATATCAGGGATCAGACTACTTGATTTTGGATTATCCATTTGGTAGAGCTAAAGATCATTTCTTTCTAAACAGGCAGTATATTGCAATTAACATTTACCAAGATTGCATAGAAATCATTCATGATTTTCTCGCGGTTTATTGAACAATTAGCAGTAAATAAGTCTTTATCAGAAGTTGAATTATGATACATATCAAATGAACTGAAAATATGTAATAATACGACATTAATACACATAGATACTTTTCAACAAATATCTATTCTATAGTTATGCTTAAAGAAAAAAAATGAACATGTTTGCTATTTTTTTTTTATTATTATTTTTTTGTTTTTGTGTGTTAACCGATGTTTAAAAATGCACATTATATGGTTACTGTAAGTCAGAAAATGTTTAGTTTGTTTGCTTAACATTCCGGTATAGAATTAAACGGTAAGAGGGGCGATGATTTTAGATGTTTAAGTACAAATAAGTTGCCTTTCATGCTTGACTTGAACATACATGTCATAAAATTAATTTTGCAATGTTTTCGCTCCGAATCTTGTCAGTTCAGAGAGAAACGGAAGAGCGATGCAGACCAAAGAGACAACTACATCCATTGTTAACAAATTATGCAGTCAAGTAGTATATTTTGTAATTCATATTAAAGAGCTATTATATTTTTTCTTAATGCTTGATTTGCAATGGGTCAATTTGATATATATATACCATATGTTTTATATTTTTTATCGATATTTTGATAACAAATGCGCTATGTATCAATGATACCATGTTTTATACTTACCAGACTACTTATAATAAAGCTTGAAATATCTTGTTTTTGTCATAGTTATGATTGGCAACATTTGAAAGAGATTTCTAAAACATCAGATAATGTTTCAGATATAACTTTATATCTAGTTTTAACTAACATATTTATTATATACAATCCATAGTCTTCACTTTGTTAAACTGTGAGTTTACATAATCTAATGTTCAATGATTGGAACATTATTTTCATTGTTTAACGTGTCAACATCTTGTTCAGTATTTTGATCTGAAACATCTTGAATACTCTGCATAATAAAATCTTATTGATACGGATTTTGTAGCTAAGCTACATATATATTATACATGTAAACAACATGGATTTACTGTCATGAATGAGTGTAGCGATCCTGTTTGTACACTTAATTAAGATAACAAGTTACCTATTAATGGACATACAGAAATTACAGCACGACCGTCATACGGGTGCCATTACCTGACATAGTGCTTGTTTATATCCAGTTGCAAATCAAAATACCTGCGCTATACAATCCTGATCGGATTTCACATGGCACGGTCTTGGTGAATATTTTCTTGTTTGTTCATTTTCGGTCCCGGGTTGTTAAAGTTTTTGCATGTGTAACGTATACGAAGATATACGTAAATATCTTAAGGTAATTGTGCAAAGAAAAAGATATTTTGTTACATTCTCACTTAATTTTCGCGGATCCGTTTCTTCTGCTGATTACTCAGTTGCATTGATGGAAAAGTGATTCCAGTCAATACTATAATGGGATTAATTCACCTTGTATTCAATTTAGACATAAGCTAGAACAACGAACTCGCCGTCTTACTAAGAGACTTACTAGTCAAATGAAAATAATTAATATAAAACATAAAAATAACATTCACCATTTTGAATATTCTATAAAACATTAATAATGTATGTAAAACGAAATAAGACTAAAATGTCGGATTTCAACAGAATAAACATTAATACCATATTTGTTTCTTTAAAAAAAAAAAAGAAAATATAAGGAGAAAAGGGACAGGTTTCCCGGAAATAAAATCAACAAGTGAATATGTATGCACAATCTTCATTCATTTGAATAGTGAAACATTGTACATTACTTTCTTTTAATACCATAGATCAAAGAGCATGACAATCTTCCTTGAATGTAAGGTAATTGCAAAATTATCTCAATCATTTAGCCTCACATTACAGTCCGAAACACCAGTACAATGCACGTAGATAAATGTTCTTAGTTTCTATTTGTCCCTACAATTCCCTTGTTTAGATTTAGTATGTTACTTCAGAGACGGGTATTAATGTGTACTCTGAACGAAAACAAAAAGAAATATATAGTATCATTCCGTATGATCCAAAGATACAAAGGTATTGACGATTTTCACCTCTCCTTCCACTACTAAGATAAGTTTATCCTATCGGGATCTTATCGGCTGTGACATCACAAGCTCAACGACTGCAGTAGCCATCATGGGAAGAATACGATATCTTGAGACCAGCCATGAAATGCAACATCAGATTCCTAATGAATGAATCAGATAATGCCAGAGGAAATTATGTAAATGGTGTCCAGCGAAATAGAAATGGCCAGAATGGAAACAAATAACTCTCAACGCTGGTGATCTAAAAGGATGTTTCTTCAACATTCTTAAATTTTGTACATTGTTTATTTTAACTTCTTAACATCTATGAATGGAATATAGCACAACCTTGACTGACACTAGATGAGTGAATCATTGGGGGAAATCGGGTACATTTAGATAGACCCCACATGTGTGTTTTAGCACCTACATACAAAACATCGTTTGTCTCTTCAATAGGAAGGTGTCATTTCATTATCAAAAATGATATTATGTAAGCGTTTATATAATACTTTAAATATAACTTATTTAATAAGGCCTCGATAAGGTATAAACGGATTATATCAGATCAGTAGTTAAAAAGCTCGTATATTGCACGCACGATTGAAGTTTCTCGTTATATTCCTATATGGCTGTGTAAACATCATTGATCTTGTGACGTGACAGTTGTGGGCTACACATATTCAATAAAGAATATACCATGCAGTCTGTTAGTATATATGTACCCTAAACAACTAGTCACCAAAGAATCTGCCCTGCAGTAGATTAGTGTATATGTGGTAACGGAAATAAACAAACTAAAAATCAATTAAGGACGGCGTTTTCGTTATTTCGTTTAACACTAGAGAGAGGACAGGCACGCACGTTAATTTACATGTAGGCATAGTTATGACTAAAGTTCAGTGCCCGATTTCGCTCTGAAGCCTAATGCACCTGTAACTTTACGGTATACTGCTAGTCTTAATATTCAGCAACGCCAGTAAACGTATGTAAGGTGTAATAATCTAGATTTGACTTTAGCTTTCTGCGTCGTTGATCATATTGATTATGCATCCAGGTGCGCGATCGTCACTTTCATTTGTTATTAAACCAATGTCAACAGTGTTTCAATTCCGACCAAAGGCATCCTCCAAATACTAGGTCAATAGGATCCATACTCTTATTAGGAAAGCGATCCTGTATTGGTCTGGTCTCTTAGATCTTACCATAAGTTTCCGATCTGGTATCTCCATTTTTTCCCACAGTCCTTGTTTGCCATGAAAATCATGACAAGTCGGCACTTCGCTACCTTGAATTCCTTAACTATAGATAATACTGGCAGTTGCAGTCTGGATGATTTTCCATACAATGCGACTGAAGTAAACTTTGATTGGACTCCCAGCACATTTACTCATGTAGCTGCTTACTGACTTCCCTAATCAGTCAACATTTTTTACAGGAATCTCTTCCATTTTGGTAAATCCAGACATTGATTCTTTCCTTACAGATCGTTTCCATCCAACTTTTTCATTCACATAGTTTGGGGCGACGTGTTAAATGAAATGGTGTCGGGTAGGGATTGATTGAACTACTTTCCTGTGCACTGGCCTGGATCGTTGACCAATATGTTTTAAACTCCTTATTCTGCATTTTTCTCCTTCATTGAGCTATTTGGTCGCTTTTCAGGACTGGACTTCTCGACTTCTTGAATTGATGCGAGCCCATAGCATTGATGGTTTATTTCTAGTGTTGTTAACACCCATCTTTCTTGTATATGGTATGCTGTTGTTACGGACAGATCACCAATGAAACCTCTCAGCGGTAGATGACAGATGCCTGATCCAATAATTACGATTGCAGTTGCCTTTTCTACCATACTTATACCCATGACATCGGCAACATTCACAAAGGTTACGGCACTAAGCAATGTTACAGTATCCCATGTTTTCATACAGGGATGCGCTATGACTCCACGTT